TCTTTGCTAGAGCATGCCTAATAGAGCTGCGGCCGCCCCCCGGCCCCCGCGCCCGCCCCCGTGAGCATCTCGGCTCCACACAAGCCTGCTCCCCACTGGGCCACACCGACTTCAAAGGTCCCAGGCTGTCTGCGAGAAGCAAAGCACCAAGCGGGAACATCGGGCCCCTTCCATCCCCCATGCTTAAGTCAATGTCCGCGCGCCCGCACAGTCCACGCTTCCTTCTCAGCCTTACCACCCAGAGGGAGTGGAGGCCTCTTTCTCTCCCCACCACTCTCTGTCTCTGCCCCGCCCCCTCTCCAACTTTTCTTTGTGATCAGCAGCAGGGAAGCGGCTGTGGGTGCTGAGACTTTTAGGGAGAAAGTCACAAAGGACTCCCACCCATCAGCTCAGCAGTGCATCCCCTCTCCCTGCTTCTGTTCCCAGTCCCTTCTGCACACAGTGGCCAGGGGGTCGCAGCCTATCTGCCCCCACGGACCTCCAACCTCTCAGACCAACGAGCATCTTCTCCGTCAGGAGCCCCCAGCCCCGGGGTCCTCCCTGCTGCCTGTGCTCAGCCACGCTGGCCTCCGTCTCCAACCTCAGGACCGGCTCTTCCCCCACCTCGGGTTTTCACTTGGCTGACTGCTCCTCATCCTCGGGGAGCCCCCCACAAGCCCCCCCAGAAGTCATCAGGGTGGATAGCAATGTCCCGCTTGCGTGACGGCTGCTCCCCTCTGGACACTAGGTTCCATGGAGGCGGGCAGATGTGCATTTCATTTCATGGTGAGGGTGGCTCCTGACACATTGTAGCGGATCACTAAATAGTGGCACGTTTGGCTGTGGGGAAGAGGCTAGCCCTGAGAGCCTTGCACGGGGACATGTGAGACGCCAGGAAAGGCCAGCTAGGCCTGAGAAGGACCTCTCTGGGCAGCGGGAGCCAAATCTGAGTCACTCTTTGCTCTGCCGACTCTTGCCCCGAAGCTGCATGTGGGCAGCTCCTTGGCACCGGGGGCCATCGCTCCCCAGAGACTGACTTACGGCGACTCAGCGGCACAGCAAAACCAAGTGAGAAACTCAGCGGCCAAACGCCTTCTCAGGAGGGAGGCAGGGAGGGGAAGGCGAGGGAGGGAGGGAGACAGGGTCACCCGGAGCACATCGGGATCTTCTGGCCAGGAATTTCTGGGCCAAATCACAATCAGATGCTGCCTTTTGAGGACAGAGTCCGAGGAAGTGGAATCAGGTGGCCTCGGCGAACATGGCCAGGGCCCCTCTCCAGCTGGGGAGGCTCTGGCCAGGGAAACTGAGCACCTCAGCGTCCCTGTAACCTGGACTGTGCCAGGAGCCCACGGGCCAAGGCCAGCCATGCCACCCCTCTGAGCCACCGGACTCTCCCCAGCAGATGAAGGGGTCTCCAGTCTGGCCAAATGCTGCCACCCTTCTCTAGGGACCAAGGCAACATGCTAATGAGGCTCAGCTCTGGGATCCTGAGAGAGGGATGCTCCCCCGCCAATTTGCCTTCACAAACCAATTAATGCAGGCATGGTGAGTGCCAGCAGCCGGCCATATGCTGGGGCTGGCTGCGGGCCGCGGGGGAGACCAGGAATGTGCTATCCCTCAGTTGCACACAGAGGGACAAGAGGGTCCTAGTTTTGCGGGGCCTCTGGAGTTCCAGGATGATCTTTGGTGAACAACACAGTACTTTCTTCTTTTTTTTTTTTTTTTTTTTTTTTTTTTTTTTTTTTTACAGGCAGAGTGGACAGTGAGAGAGAGAGAGACAGAGAGAAAGGTCTTCCTTTTGCCATTGGTTCACCCTCCAATGGCTGCCGCAGCCAGCACGCTGCAGCCGGCGCACCACACTGATCTGAAGGCAGGAGCCAGGTGTTTATCCTGGTCTCCCATGGAGTGCAGAGCCCAAGCACTTGGGCCATCCTCCACTGCACTCCCAGGCCACAGCAGAGAGCTGGCCACAACACAGTACTTCCAGGGCAACCGTATTATCGGAGGCATAGGCACGTAGATTCGTACAGCGGAGCTTCATTGTTTGCAGATTCTGGCTTTCTGGATTCACCTCTCACCAAACTTCATGCAACCCCCAATATCAGTATTTGTCATATTCGTGGTGCTTTCACATTCTTTTTTTTTTTTTTTAAAAAGATTTATTTATTTATTCATGCATTCGTTGGAAAGGCAGAGTGGCAGACAGGAAGAGGGAAACGGGGGCAGGGGAGAGAATCTTCCATCTGCCCAAATGCCCGCAACAGCCAGGGCTGAGTCAGCACGAAGCCAGGAGGCAGGAACTCCAACCTGGTCTCCCACGTGGGTGGCCGGAACCCACGGACTTGAGTCATGGAATCTGGATCAGAAGCAGAGATGGAGGTGGGACTCCGTCCTAGGCACAAAAATTTGGCACGCGGCGTCCCACCAGTGGCTTCACTTGCTATGCCACAATGCCTGTGGCTCCTGGTCATTCTTGGCAGGCAATGCATAGAGCGGTGGAAAACTCCAAGTCACCGAGCCACACGCTCCCAGCTGCTGCAGAACACAAGGCGGGGCTCCGCGTTCTCCTCTCAGCTTTCCATGCCCCAGTGTTCCCGCCGTGATCCACTAGGTTGTTCTGCATTTTTTTTTTTTTTTGGTTGGTGATGTCACTGTTTCACATGGCCCCCAGGCACCGTGCCGACATGCCAGGTGGTGTCCTTAAGCAGAGAAGGCTGTGCCTTGCCTTAGAGAGAAAACACCTGTGCTGGACAAGCTGCATGCAGACCCAAGTCTATTGGCTGAGTTCCGTGTTAACGAGCCCAGCACGCAGAGCAGGTCCAAAACAGCCTCAACACAAGACTGCATGCCGAGGGGCCGGTGGGGTGCCTACCGGAGGCTCCCCAGAGCCTCACTGGGTGTCTCCCCGAGGAGCAAGGGCTCAGCAGTCACCCACTCAGTGTTTGCCCATCTTCACAGAACACAGAGGCCACGATCACTGGGACTAACTGTGACAACAAACGTACTCAGCTCCGTGCACGAAGGGGACCACAGGGTGCCGTGAGCGCTGTGGTGCCACCTTGCCGAAGCTAGGACCTTGGCCTGACCAGCAGTCCCCTCTCCCGCTTATTTCTGGGGATTTGGCTGGGACTGGTCTTTGTTGATCTTTATTAAGGCCCACAGGCTCCTGGGAAGGGGGGATCATATGGCCTACAGCTCAGCCCCAAGGGCAGATGTCATGCACATGTTTAACCCTACCATGTGTTAACCAGGAAGCTGGTGAGTTTCTTCACTAGGTTCCCTCCTCAGTTTCTGCACAAGGTCATTCTATCGGTGCATTCTATAAGCTGAGCGCATACAGTAGGTGCTCCAGAAGTGGTCAATTGGTGATTTAGACTCCCCAACAATCCTGAGACTTAAAAGCTAGGCCAGAGTCCTTGAAGGCCAGGGCAGCTGGAGGCTGGAACTCTTTGCCAGGGTCCCCTGGACAATCATGCAGCCTCTCCAGGAGGAGTGGGACCAAGGTCTGAGTGCAGGTCTGCAGGATTGCCCCACAGAGCTCTCCGTGAAAGCCGTCCCCCCAAAACACCCCCACTAGTTAATCCCCCTGCCAAAACGCTGCCTCCAGCAGGCCCAGATTGATTTTAATTGGCATAGCTGACCTCAAGGGGTAGGTGCTGCAGGGCTGTACTGGGTTTGTGAGCCACAAGGCCTCGGGGCCAGCTGGGGAAAGCCTGGGGAGCAGGTGCAGGTGCCCCCAGCATGCAAGGCAGGTGCGCCCTCTCAAGAGGGAGAGGCTGCTCGGCTCCAGCGATGTGAGCCGGGAGCGATCACGTTTTCCTCGTTTTTACGAGAGAAAACAAAAATCCAGAGTTTCAGCTGAAACCTTCAGATTTGAAAATTCACTCAAGATCCTTGCTACTCTGGATGGATCAAGCATGACATGCTGGGGGCTGTGCTAGGGACAGTCACAATACCAGAGAGCTCTCCTGGTGGCTCTGAGTGGGCGGGGAGTAGAAAAGGAAGGGAGGGCCCGTTCCAGACCCTGCAGCTTCCTGGGGTTCTGGGCAAGTTGGGCTGGACCCCACCCTAGCCCCCTGAGACTGCACAGGGTCAACACATGCAGGGTGGACGTAGCAGCCTCTGTAAGTCACTAACAGTGACCGAGACCCCAGACAGCTGCCTCCTCCGGTATCACAGACTGTGGCTTACCCCAGTGTCCTTTGGTAAGCAGCTGTGGTCCCCAACCCGGGCCTGGGCTTAGCTGTGGGGAGAAGTGTGGCTTGCAGCACACACACCTGGGAGCCTGGTTCTTCCCTTCTCATCCTACTACAATGAGTTGTCCAAAAGCACAATGAATGTTGGACGGAAGCCTCACTGGTTCCCAGGAAAACAAACAAACAAATCTAAGACAACACAATGAGAGTGTTCTTCTTTTTTTTAATATAAAAACAAATTGTGTCCTTGTTTTTTTTTTCTGGCTTTTCTTTAGTAAACAGTATGAAACTGAAGTTTTTCTTTTTTTTTTAACATCCTTATTTAACAAAATCAAAAGTTGGGAATGCTATGTTGCTTTTCCAAACTTGTATTTGAAATGTTACTGCTTTGTAAAATTCCAAAGTCAAGGACTCACAGGCAGAAGGATGTCATAAATCCACAGGAAAGGATGTGCGCTGGCCTGCCCTCCCCTCCCACACCCCTCGTCTCTCACCGCCTCTCTCCCATTTACTAACCACCTACTGTATGCCATCTCCTAAGGCGACAGTGACAGCTCAGGGGCCTTACAGAGCAGGGGGAAGGCCGCTCCCAGCGCCAGGATCCCCATCCCCCCGCCTCGGTCCCTCTTCCCCAGGAGCCAGCTAGGTCAGTTCCAGGAAGCGAGACCTTGCTGGAAAAGAACAGAATTAGCCAAGGTCCACTTTAGTAAACTCACTCCAAATTCTGCGATTGGAAATACAAGCGGACTCCAAAAAGCTTGTGGAAAAAATGGAATTAGAAGGTAATTTTATTTTGGCACAAAGAATTTTGAAATGCAGGCATAGTTCTTTTCCTGATATAAATTTTCCATGAACTTTTTCAAGACCCCTTATATCTAGAAGAGAGTGATTTTATGGGACCATGAGGAGGTCAGAGCATGGGGAGGGGTGGGGATGGGGGTGCTCTTTCAGTGTTTGGGGCCCCTTCAGGCCTGGGTCCCACTCTGCTTGTCACCTTGAGTTCTCAAGCCATGGCCCATGGGTCCTGGACTGCCCTCCTCCCCCAGTGCCCATCCTTGGGCCCTGGCCATTCCTCCAAGGCTTGCTCGTACCCCAGGCTTCCTTCCAAGCCTCAGATGCCCCCCCTCCTGGCCCCCATGTGGGCTGGGAAGAGCTCTCTGGAGAGTGTGCCCAGACATGACCCCCAAAGCAGACCCTGGGAGGAGCCCCATGAACTTGGAGCCAAGCCTGGGTCTGCAGTGCAGGGAAGTGAGACAGCTGCTGGTTGCAGCCCGCCCTATCCCCCAAGGCTGTCCTTGACCACGCGACCCCAAGCAAGCCCAAGGTTGGGAAGGGACCTTTTCTAGAAGTCTCTGGCATCTTCCTAATTCCAGGCCCCAGGGGTCGCTGGGGAAGCGCCCTGGTTGGAAGACGCTCAGCGTCTCACTAAGTGGGGCTCTCTCGATGCCGGCAGTTCCACAACAGCAGTGGGGAGATGGGTAGTGCAGGGGCAGTTACTGAGCTCTCCAGTCTTGCCCTGCCATGCAATCATGGCCACTGGGGCCAGGGAGTTTTGGGGGGCCCCTGGTGGGGGTCTGGGCTCTCTCTGCCTCCCCTCTCACCCTAATGAGCACGTCCTGAAGGCGAGGCTGCTGGCTTCTGTGCTGCTGTGTCAAGGCACCGGCCATTGGGGTTCCCTAGGGATTCAGTTGCAACGGTACTTTCAGGGGGTGGGAAGCTTGCTAAAAGCACAGACTCCCGCACCCCACCCGCAGAGTCACCAAACACCACCCGCTCCTGGGACTGGGCCTGGGTATCTGCATTTAACACTCTCCAGGAGATTCCCACCGCCCCTGCAGTTAGGCGATCCCCACCAAGGGGCCCTCTGAGGCCATCCTGTGAAAACAGGGCTGCAGAGGAAGTCACTTGGGCCGCACCCAGACCAGCGAGCCAGCCAGCCTCTTCCCAGGTGGGATCCACGTCCCGTGCTTTTAAAACTCTCCCCTGACGATTCTGAAATACTCCCCCTCCTCCCTCACCTCCCGCCAACAAGCCAGTCTGCACCAAGGTCATGTCCAGGGTGTCTCGGGTGTGGGCAGGGAGCTTCTTGTCTCAGCCAGGTTCAGGGCCCAAGTGTACCAGGATCCGTCTGCTTTGCAGGGAAAGGTGGAGGCACAAGGATGCCCACCTGATGGCCAGGCTCTGCCAGCTGCTCCCAGGGCCACTATCTGCTATGGAGAATGAGTCCATACCCACCGCCCTCCTGGTGGGAGCCCAGGGAAGTTAGGCAGGGCCGGAGGGCGGGGCCCCAGGTGGACTGGCCAAGGGCAAGGCTGCCTTGAGGTTTCTCTGGGACGTGGAGGCCCGGCATCCACAGCCCCGTCTTCAAGGAGCAGGAGAGGGTGGCAGGCGGGGCTGGCACTGAGCACTGTCAGGGTCACCTTTCAGTGCCAAGAGCGCTGACAGCTCTCACGGAAGCCGGGTTGTTAGTGGCGCGGCCTGACAGGCCCTGGGTGGAGGTACACGCAGCCTTCCCCTCCTCCTGCCGCCTCTGAGCCTGCTTCCCCTCCCCCCGCCCCGTAATGATCTGAGATCTAAACACTGCGGAAAAAGGGGGAGGAAGCCAAAGAAAGTGCTTCTGGCTGTTTGCTTTGCCAGAACGTGTAATTGGCATGGCTGGGTGTGAAGTGCCTCAGGCCCCCAGGCTCAGGCCATGCTCCCTGGGAGGGGACCTCCCTGGGCTCTCTGCCTCCCACACGCCAGGCGTCCCCAGCACACTCAGGGACACATCAGCAGGAATGGGACATCCTGCTGTGACCAGCCAAGCGAGCGCAGGCCTGTCTCCCTCTAGCTTCCCCAGCCCGAGGGGAGCCCTGTGCAGTAGTGACTGTCCCATGGGGTGGCTGTCAGATTTGCAAACACTGCCAAACTCTGCCTGCGGGAAAACATGTTCAAAGCTGCACAAGGTCGCCACCTTCTAGTTGGCTTTTTTCACCTTTCCTTCCTTCTTCCCTTCCCTTGTTCCCGCCCTCTCCTTCCTTCCTTCTTCTCTTTCCTCTTCTTCTTCCCATGTCTATCTGGTACAACCAGATAGCATAGTTGTTGTAATAGCATCAACACTAAAATCACACTTGCTCTTGAACTTGGAGTTTCACGGTGCCCTCTTCTGTCACTTTCTGTCCCCAGGGCTCTTGGTGGTGGGCACTGAGACGACAAGCCAGGTACAGGGACCCTCAGGGGCCAGCATTGTGGCTTAGTGGTAAAGCAGCCACCTGCAGTGCCAGCATCCCATATGGGCGCTGGTTCGAGTCCCAGCTGCTCCACTTCCAATCCAGCTCCCTGCTAATGGCCTGAGAAAGCGGTGGAAGATGGCCCAAGTGCTTGGGCCCCTGTACCCACATGGGAGACCCACAGAAGCTCCTGGCTCCTGGCTTCAGTCTGGCTCAGCTCTGGCCATTGCGGCCATCTGGGGAGTGAATCAGTGGATGAAGACCTTTCTCTAAAAAAAAAAAAAAAAAAAAAGGAGGACCCTCAGGGAGTGGGCAGCACATCTGCTACAGCCCAGGCCGAGGACCCCAGGCCAGGATGCAGGGTGGGGAACGGGGCAGGCCTGTGACAGGCCTCTAAGCAATGGGTGGCCAAGCAGCTGCTAGAGAAGAGGACGGGGCTCTGTGACCCAGGACGGAAGATCCCCAAATAGATGAGGCGGCAGGGAAAGAGGGTGTGATGTGGATACCGCACTCCTCGTGTAAAAATAAAAGGGTATGTGGTGGGAGATTAAGCTAACTGCAGGGTTTCGTGTCTTAAAAATAGGTCTGAAAGATGCCGAGTTCTGGACGGGGAGTTCACAATGCCTGGGGCACAATTTTGTTCTAACTCGGTGTTTGTCATAGTTCGAAACTCAACAAAGGGCCGGCGCTGTGGTGCAGTAGGCTCTGCCTCTCAAATAAATACATAAAATCTTTAAAAAAAAAAATTCAACAAAGTGTGAAGTGTAAAGGAGACAGTTCCTGGGAAGAAGCGCCAGCCAGCCTGGGACAGCGCCCCCACCGCCAGGCAGCCGGGTTCACAGGGCGAAGCCAAGGCACCCAATTTCACCTGAACAGCACAGATTCAGAGAGGAAGCGGGAGTGCTCCCAGGTATGCGGGTGCTTAAAAGGTCCCAGGCCGGAAGGAAATTTACTTTGTACCAACATAAACTTATCTTTTAATTCCAACTTCCCACAAATGTTCTTAGTGTATTTGCACCTGTCCAAGCGCACAGCTTACTTTTTTTTTTTTTTTTTGGAAAGCGTTACACAGAGAGGGAGAAACACAGAGACCTCCCACCTGCTGGTTCACTCCCCAAATGTTCATGGAAATCAGGCCGAAACTAGGGGCCAGGAGCTTCATCCGGGTCTCCCGCGTGAGTGCGGGGTGGGGGGGAGGGGGCCCAGACCTTGGGCCATCTTCCACTGCTTTTCCAGGCTATCAGCAGGGAGCCGGACCGGAAGTGGAGCAGCCGGGACTCCAATTGGCATGCTGGCGATACAGGCAAAGGTTTACCCTGCCATGCCACACAGCCGGCGCGTTAGTTCCCAGGAAACAACAGAATCCTGACCAGTGTGGAGACTGCGCCATTGTCCTCCGATGCAAACCCCGCCCCCTGCTGCACACAGGCATGTGACCCCAGATGGGCCATGATGATTGGTCCAGAGATGCGTCCCTGCTCTGAGCCCAGCCAATCAGAATCCACCCATGGGCTTTGCCCTCAGGGAAGATCCATTTCCTTCAGTAGTTTGTCCAAGAGTGACAGCCGCAGAGATCCTGACCCTAAGAAAGCAGGGGGTACACTTACTGCTCCCGAGAGAGAGAGAGAGAGAGAGAGAGAGAGAGAGAGAGAGAGAGAGGCCCAAGGACCTTCATTCAGATCCCGGATCCTCAAAGCCAGCCCCCTCCTGCCTTCAGCCACAACCCCAACAAGGGGGGGGGCCCAGCCGCAGCGGCTGAGCCCCCCACCAGTGGCTGCCGGACGGCAGGGGACACCACAATGCCAGCCCTATCTCCCTGCTGTGCGGTCCCAAGCAAATCACTTCACCTCTCTGAGCCGCAGATGGGCTCCCACCACCTGCCAAGGTTAGGCGCCCCAGTAATGAGTAGGAGGAGTAACACCGTGACAAGGAAGCGCCTTTCCTTTGGAAATAACTCCTTACCAAGCATATTCAAGACTCCGGAGAAGAGGATCCGGGTCGGGCGACAAAGCAACAGAAAGGCGGTTGGAACTGCGTTTCCTTCCGCGGTCCCTGCACCTCCGTGCTCCACCATCACCCCCTCCCCACCGCCCCATCCCCCGCAACAAGCTGCCCTGGCCTCTGGTGCCCAGTGCCTTCAGAGTGAGGAGAGTGGAGACACGATATCCATCTCCCTACAGGGTTCCCATGGCTGGCTGCATCCCTCAAGGGCCCAGCTCCTTTTGGGGTCTTCCCCACACCCTGGCCCCACCTGCTGCAGAACCTCCCCCCTTGCCCCTGAGGACCCCCACAACGCCAGCCCAGGAGTCTGCGTTCCCTCTGCCCCACTTTGTCAGTATTCCCTTTATTAAACTCACTTCAAAGTACCCAACGTGCACGTGCAACCCATTTTTCATGAGGACCCCAACTGTGACGCAGTGGTCCCTTCCCTGGCCTCCCCAGGTTCAGGCCAGACAGAGGACACTGCACCAGGACCCCAACGCTGGCCACTGTCCCCCTTTCCCTCCAGGCTGCTCCAACACCTGCTGGATCTCAGGCCTCAAGAAAGAAAGGAGCTCTGGTGAGCGGCAAGCAGCTTTTGGCCCTTGGTGACCATCTGGCCCAAGAAGAGGCCAGGAAGGGACCAGAGCAGCACAGCACTGATTTCTGCACACCAGAAAAGATACCTGAGAGTGTATATTTATAGGAAGATACACAGGAATGGACAGCGGGCATCTACCTAGAGATGCAGAACGCTGGGCGAGCACGGGCTAGCTACAAGTCTGACTGCCAACAGGAACACACCAGGCTCCCCGTCCTCCATCACAACCGACACACCACTGCCCAATGCTGCAAAACCAAACTGCTTTATGTGGTTGCTTCTCTCTCTAGCGATTTCCCAAAGGAGAAGGCTGGTTTTAGGGACACTGGAAATATGTGCGTGTGTCTTTCTAAATGGGAGTGCAGGGTGGGGGTGGGGTGGGGGGAAGTAGCCCCGTGTTGTGCACGGCCGAGAAGACGGGGCTGGTTCGGGCATGAGCCCACTGGAAAGGCATGAAAGATACTCTAGAAAGGACAGCGAAGGTTGCTAGGTTGGGACGTAATAAAAACACAACAGCAAGGAGGCCGCGCATCTGCAGTCCGTTGAAATCCCTTGTAGCACGTTACAATCAGGTAAGGGCAAAATAAAATCAGAATAATACTAAGAGGTAGCAGCTGTTTCTCTTCTCGGAGACTTCAAGGGTCTCTGGAAGCCAGGCCAGGTAAGGGTGTCCGGATGGGGCAGAGTTTTGGCCAGGGCTCCCGTGGTGCTGGCAGGGGTGGGAGGCGATCCATGTGGGCACTGCAGCCTGGGGGCCTCTGCCCCCTCCAGGCCACTTCCAAGCCCAGAGTCATTTCTTGGGTGAGTTATGCAGTCCCCACGACATATAAATAAAAGTTTAGTTCTGTGTTTCCATATATCTTCTACATGAAGGCTAGCTAAATATTAGTGGAGTAACAATAATTATTAATAACAATAACCGTCATAATAACAATAATTAATAGAATAATAATGCCTTGGGGGGGCGGCAGGTGCCAGGGGCGGGGCGGGGCGGGGCAGGGCTCTATGTCTGGTAGAAGTGGTGGTAGTGGTGGTGGTGTTCGTGGTGATGGTGGTGCTCGTGTCTCTGGACCGCCTGCCCGGCCTGGCTCTCATACACCAGCACGGTGGGCAGCTCCCTGGCGTGCTCCCGCCCCAGAACGGTGCTGCCTGCGGCCAGCGGGGCCTGCAGGCCCCGGCAGCCCTGCTGGCCCTCCTTGGCTCGGTGCTTGTGCTTCTTGGACCCAAGGGGCGCCAGGGTGGGGAGGAGAGCCGGGCTGGCGGCCAGGTGGGCGGAGGGGGACCCCGCGGGGACGGCAGGTCCCAGAGGGGGCTTGCTTCTCGGCCCTCTGGCCACGTGGCCCACACCTACGCTCTTGCCCTGGGCCTTGGGGGACCTCACAAAGTGCTTGCTCCCGTCCTGGGCGCCCCGGAGCCGCTGCTGGAGCTCCGAGACCTTGGCGAAGGGGGTGTCAAGGAGGTGGCAGGAGCCCGGGTCTGCGCCTTGGGGCTTTCGGTGTGTGACGTGGATGGCTTCCGGCTCGTGGGAGCGCGATCGAGCGGGGTTGGAGGTGCGGGTGGGTAGTTCTGACTTCTGGGCCACTGAAGGGGAGCCTAGGAGGCAACAGACATTCGTGAGCACCGCTTCCCAGGAACCACGCCTGCCCCTCCCCAGTCGCCAGGGAGGACGGATGGCAGCCGTTGTGGGTCACAGCTACCCTCCCACCCCAGCCACCTCTCGCTGCCTTACAGCTAAACTCTTGCAGGGGGACCTTCCCAGGTGCTAAGTGGGAAGACCTGGTCTTCGGCAGCTCTTCTTCTGGGAGAGCTGAGAAAGGCTAAGTGGCAGGAGCTCGGCCACCTGGCTAAGGTGACTGGCAGCCCGTCAGTGGAAATCTGACCACAGAGTCGCACCCAGGCAGAGCAGCGCTGCGCCTGGTGGCACCGGACACAGCCAAGGGAGGGTCGTGTGGTTGCCCTGGCAACGGGCCTGGCGTGGGAGCCATAACTTCCGTCCTTACAGATCATGATTAGTGGATTTGGTTTGACTTAGTGCAGAAAGAACTTTACATCTAAATGCATTTCTCCTGTCCCCTCCTCGAGGTGGCGCTGTCCGCAGAAGCCACGTGCTCCCCCAGACCCCGCCCACAGCCTCCCCTCGCCCGCCCCGCACCCTTACCGGGCCCAAACTGGGACGTGCAGTTCTCTATGCCGGCGAGATCTAAGTAGTGGTTTCTCCTCTCGAGGTTCTCATCCACGCAGTGGTGGTAGCAGCCGGCCTGCTCCAAGCGGCTGTCACCCTGGAACCTGCAGCGGGCGGGCGAGGCAAGCGAGTGAGCAGGAGGCTCTGGCCACCCACCTCCCTCTGTGGCTTGGGAAGGGGACAGCGGGATCATGATGCCATCCGCGCCCCCTCCACTTCCTCCTTTGTAAACAGAGGCAGAGCCCAGTGCCCAGCCTCTCTGGGCGCTGAGCAGGAGTGGCCCAGGACCAAAGCAAATAGAAGAGGATTCAAACCTAGGGAGGCTCCCACAGCCAGGCTTCAAACCAAGCATGCGCACTGCAGGCAGGGGGTGCCTAACTCCCAGCACCCAGGGAGCACGGGCAGACGGCAGAGGCGTCCCCTAAACCCTTGGCATCGAGGCTGGCAGATTCCATGACATGCCCCAAAGCCCAGCATGGGCCTCAGCAGTGTGTAGGGGTATGCAGGTGTGTGTGTGTGTGTGTGTGTGTGTGTACCTGAACACGTGTGAGAATGGAGTGAAGGGTACAGCAAGCAGGCGCTGTCACAGGCCTCCTTTCTCCCCTGTGGGACTCCAGCCTCCCTGGAGTTGCTCCCTTCAAGGACCTCCCGCACACCCCAGCTCCTCCCCCATCCCAGTCCGCCGCAGATTCCCAGTCCGCACCACACTGCACCTGCCGCTCCCAGGACCTCCCCTCTCCTCCCGGTAACACCCATCCCAACTCCTTACTTGCTTACTGTTTGCACCCCAAGTGCTAACACAGCCTTGCACCTGCTATTTATTCAATGTTTCTCCTTACACAGCCTCTCTGCTTCCCTCCTTCCCTCCCTCCCTTGCAGTTAAAGAAAGAACAACAGGTGGAAGGTAGCTGCCGCCTTACCCACGACCCTGAACTCCAAAAAGCCTGACAACTCCGGTTAGTCTGAGGCTGCCCAGGAGGTGCTGCCCGAGTCCCGCCCCCTCCTCAGCCCTGCCCCCCTCCTCAGTCCCGAAGCTGCTGCCCTCCAAAGCACCCCTGGCCCAAAGGGTCCTGTATAGGGGGATGCGGGCCTCCAGGCAGCATCCGTGTCGGACGCGGAAGCTGATGCCCGAGCCTGCACGCCGGGCGTCCTGGACTCCTGCCCGGGAGAGAGCACACTTGGGAGCTTCCTGCTCCAGGCAAACCCATGGTGTTCAGCGTGTGCCCAGTGCCTCCCCGCCCCGTACCTGAGGGGGGCGCGCTGCTGCTTCTCCCAGCTGCGCAGCTCCTCGGCAGGCTTGGTCTCCGCTCTCGGCCTGGTGCTCTGCAGCTCTGAGAGGTAGGAGAAGGCCCGGGTGAGCTGCTGGCCTCCCCCGCCGCAGCCCAGGTGGCCCCCCGCAGCTCTGTGAAGGCTCGGTGGAGGGAAGGGGCTGAGGAGGGGGTCGCACAGTTGCTGGCCTCCCAGGCCCAGCCCCGCCCCCCTCAGCCTTCACTGTCGCCGCAGGCACACACCCCTGCCCACCACCACCACGCCCCTGCTTGGTGCGCCTGCAACCCCCTTCTCTTCCCCATCTGGGGTCCGCTGCAGCTCTACTCATCCCAAAAGCCCCCAGGCTCCCGGCTCTCACCCTGCAGGCCCCGCCCCTCCCGCAGCCCCTCACCGGCGGGATGGAGAAGGACGCTCCTCTTGCTCTGGCTGCCGTCTGGGGCCACGGTGAGCTTCACCCTCAGCGTCTTGCTGGACGCCGGGGAGTGGTTGACGGAGGAGTCGACCACCTCGTAGATGGTATGCAGCAAGCTGGTGATGTCCTGAGTGGGGAGGGAGGGATGCAGCCGCACCCCCGGGCGTCAGCCACAGCGCGCATGCGCCGGCCGAAGCTGAGCCAAAGCGCACCGTACTCCTCCCACCCCAGAGCGAGGTAGGAAGCTTCGTGTCCCGGGTTGTTGGGGAGCAGAACAAGGAAGCAGGAGTGATGAAGTGGGGAGAGGGGGCAGGGCCGGGCAGCTGGGGCTCCGTGGCACTGGGGCCCCCTGAGGGCAGTGAGGTGCTGCCTTAAATGGTCTCATCCAGACTGGGGGGACGGAGTTTGAATTGGCTGAGAGGTGCCCTAAAGATGTCACATCCCCAGTACCTGCAGGTGATCTGCAGAGGCTGAGGCAGCTCCCAGCCCCAAAGGAAGCTCTCACAGTGGGCACTGTCCCGCACTGCGACAGGAAAACTCGGGGCAGGTCCAGGGAGTGGGCTGTGGGGGCGTCGGGGCAGCTGCTTCAGGTCTGAGGAGTGCCATGTGCATGAAACCCCACCACCCTGCAGGCACTAACTGTGTGTCTGCCCAGCCTCCCCCGCCGGCCCCCGCCCATTCCCATGTTGAAGCCCCAGGCCCCAAGGTGGCGGTGTCCGGAGGAGTAAGGTTAAATAAGGTCAGAAGAGGGGGGCTAATCCATTAAGGCTGGTGACCCTAGAAGAGGAAGAGACACCACAGCCCTCTCTGCACCACATGAGGACACAGTGAGAAGGCGGCTGTCCACCAGCCAGGACGAGAGCCCTCCCCAGGGACACACAGGCTGGGACCCAGCTGCCCACCAGCCAGGACGAGAGCCCTCCCCAGGGACACACAGGCTGGGACCCAGCCGCCCACCAGCCAGAACGAGAGCCCTCCCCAGGGACACACAGGCTGGGACCCGGCCTGCAGCTCCATCTCCAGAGCCCTGCCGGTACACACGCCTGCTGTTTCCACCCCCAACCCCCCCCCCCGACATCGTCTCGGCAGGCTGAGCCCTGAAAGAGGAGCCACCCCGCCAGAGTTAGTTCAACCCGATCTCCCTTCTCGGGGCCGCAGACACTGTGTTCCGTGAGGTCGCAAAGGCTTCTGAGTGCGGGGAGGAGGGGGAGGGCTCCCCTCACTGGGCCTCCCCTTGCTCTGAGCACCTGCTGAGGCCGTTTGTCTGACATTGGAAACCCCTGGAGAAGATGTTTTTCTTTCCATCAGGTCCTACGCCCGTCCATTATCTGCCCAGCGATATGCCATGGGCACTGACCCAGTGTGCTCTTCTTGCTGCCCCCTAAGCCCCTTGGGCTAAGGTGGCAGGGACAGGCAGGGTGTGGAGGGGAGACCTGCAGTGGCGGGGCTGCTGTGGCCCTGGCCCTGCCCATGGGAGGTGGCGCCACCCAGCTCAGCCACCTTGCCCCTTGACAGCACAGGCTGATGGCCACACCAATGAAGCCAGAAATCCAGCACCTTCCGTGAGACCGTCAGCATCTTTGACACTGGAAACTACTTTTTAACAAAATCCTCTGGAGACCCAGACCAGAAGAGCTGGGGACCAGACTGGGATTGTGGGGCTGCCAGTTTGAGACCCAGCCTCCTGTCACTCACTCACTGGCTTCCTGGGTGACCCCTGCAACACGGGCAAAGCCCACAGAGGCCACTGCTCCCTTCTTTCTGTCCCCTGCACTTCTCTGCAGAGCCCCAGTGGCTCCCGGACTCTCAGATCCTGGGAAGCCCACAGAGAGGCTGCGCAGGTGAGCCTGGGGTCCCAGACTGCTGTCCTGGTGGGAGGCAGGCTTTGGCAATTGCAACCTGAAAGTCACCCCAGTGACTTCACAGGGCCAGGCTCACGGGAATGGGTGGCCACAGATGAACGTCCCACGGATGAACGGGGGCATTTTTCCAAGTCGGAAAGTCAGCTCAGGGGCAGGAGCCCAGGCGCCTGGCACACGGGAACGGGCGTGCCCATGGCCAGAAAGCGTGGCAGATTTGAGGAGTGGCTCTGGGGCTAAGAATAGACCAGGGGAAACACAGGCTGAGTCCTCCCTCCATCCCACGCCAGCCTCCTGGCTCCTGGGCAGGAGGACGACACCACCCAGGGAATACTTTGTCGGCGGCCAGGCTGGCCCCTGCCTTGCAAACCCTCGCTTCTTGCACTCGCCCTTCCTGGCCTACCCCGGGTGGTTACGGTGGGCACGAGGGCAGAAGCAGCAGGCAGCATCCACTGCAGGTTTCTGGCAGGTCTCCCAGGTGACGGGCAAAGCCCTGTGTGCTCCCCAGCATCTCTGACCCAGGAAGGAACGGAGAAGGCAGCGACGAAGGGGTGGGGTTTCCAGCACTGCACGCGCAGCGAGAGGGAGGCGCCAGGGCATTCCTGGGCAGCCAGGGAGATTCAGATCTGGAACTTCTGCTGGCGGGAGACCCTGCCCAGTGGAAACGTGAAGACACTGAGCGTCTGGATCCAGCCATGCCTGAAGTCGGTGCCCCGTTCTGCATCGCAGGTGCAGGAGCCAAGAGCTACTCCTTTTGTTGTTGTGACTTAGAGCAGAGGGTGCCGGAATGCTGTCACTTGCCTGCCAGAGTCCGGAAGGACCGAAAGGCAGTCATGGCTCCTCCCTCTGACCCGTGCTAGTGCCCAGGCTTCCACCCCAGTGCCAGGTGCACAGGAAACACTTCCTGCCCGGAGCCAGGACAGCAACGCACCAGCGTCTCCCTGCACACACCCTGGAGCCCCCATCAGCTGGATGAGAGGCGGGCATGGGGCCCAGCTATGCCAAGCTTGCACCCCTGTGCAGACGCACACAGCTGTCAGCCCCTGCAGATGAGGGCCTTCTGCAAAGGGGGGAGGTAGCTGGATGTCCAAGAGTAACCAGGGAGGAAAAAGAGAAGGAGGCAGAAGGAGTGGCCCCAGCCCTCCACGGCCTCCCCCGAGAGTCAAATCCAGCTGCCACAGGCCCTGAAGGCCCCGCAGGACTGGCCCTCCTGGGTCCTAGATCCCAGCCACGGCTGCGTCTCTCCTGTGAAGCAGCCACCTCCTTGGTCCCCTTCAATTCCTTAAACACCCTGAGCGCTCCCATCCCGCTGCCACCCAGACTCTCTCCCCAGCTCTGCACACCATGCACTGCACACTTCAGCTCTCATGTTGCCTCCTCCGAGAAGCCTTCCCAGATACTCCAGCCAGTCTCTTTTGTACCACCCTGTTTATTTCCTTTACTGAATACCTCCCAGCCACAGTTCTCTGACTATATGGACCTGCCACCCTCATCAGACTGTCAGAGACACAAAGTGAGAACTGTCTGTTTTGTTCCAGTCATGTCCCCCAAAATAGTGCAAAGCAGGTGATCCAATGACAAAGACACAGGCACAGAGGAAGGGCAAGAGGAGCTCAGGGTGTGGGAGGGAGAGACAGACAGACAGAGAGGCAGGCACACAGACGGGGAAGGATGAGCTTGGGTGGAGGCTGCAGTCAGAGCTGTGACTGCAGAGGGTGCCCCGCCTGCAGGAGGCTCACGAGGCCACTGTGTAGCACCTCCCCCTCCAGGCCCCAAGCTCCTGGGTAGGGCAGCTGAGCAGGGATGTGGCCCGGGGTGGTCCCAAGCCCTTCCCATCACCTCTCCCCATGCACTGGCAACTCCTCCAGACCTCCAGGAGGCCCACTTGCCACCCCCCCCCCCCCCCCCCCCCCCCCCCCCCCCCCTGCTTAGGAGCAAGACCTATGTGAGGGAGGCGGGGCCTGGCCTCCAGGCCCGAGGGCCCCGTGACAAGTGCCGGGCGGCGTAACAGTGATAGTGACACTCACCTCGCGGGTGACCTTGCCATTGTTGTCGAAGTCGTACAGGGTGAAGGTCCACTCCTGCCGGCTGTCTTCCTCCACTGACACGTCGCACTGCAGCTCCTGGGCACACGCACACAGCGGGGCTGCTCACCCATCAGCGGCGCACCAGCTGCGCTTGACGGGGTATGGGGGGGGCGGGCTCCAGAGGCCAGGCCCTGCCCTGGAGGAGTGCCAGGACCAGCCAGGGAGGCCTGGCCGGGGAAGAGACCCTGCAGGGGCACCAGGCAGCCTCTGCTCTCCCAGGACAAAGGACACACTCATGGGGGAGGAACCTTAGAGATTCCCAAGGGCTGCAAGTGAAAGGAGTGTCCCAGGAAATCCCAATGTCGGAGGCCCGGCCAGGACCTCAGGGTGGGCCACCTGGACTGCCGGGCCGTGAGAGCTTAACTTCCAGGGTGGCCCAGGGCACAGGCCCTGCTTTGCCTTCCACGGCTGCAGGACCCAGGGCACGTCCCTGTGTTGCTCCGTGCCTCAGTTTCCCCTTGTGTAGACAATGCAAGCTGATGTGTCTATCTGCCCCATGAGGTTGCTGGGAAGATTAAATGCCCCACCCCAGGCGCCCTGGGCCCAGCTTGGAGTATCCCTGCAGCCATGACAGACTTTTCCCACCCTCCGTCCTCAGCACCCCAGAACCAGCCCAGGGCCCTGAACAAGTGAGAACAGGCCTGCTGGAGGCATTCCCACCCCACTTCCTCCTCCAGGGGGCGAGTCTGAGCGCTTTCTACACAGCTGACTCTCAGAGGACCCCAGAGGGACTGAGCCCAGCGGCCTGTGCACTGGGCCACCCTCCCCGGCCTCTCTCTTCCCCATCCCTGGGATCACCTCCCAAACTCACTAGCTGCCCGCACACCCTTGTCTCGGGCTGCCTGGGGGAAGTGGGACGGGAGGCTCCGTCTATGCTCGGGCACTGGTGACCTGCGTGTGGAGCAGACGCCCAGTGCGTGGTCGTAGCTGCTATTCCTTCTGCTCTATGATTAATCCAGCGGCCTCTTCCTCATTATGCACAGTGGCCCACCGTGAATCTGAGCTGGAGGCGGCAAAGCTCCCTCCTTGGGAGGGCTTGGTCTGGTGGAAGGTTCTAGAAAGGGTGGTCATTTGGAGGAAAAGCCTTTGAGAGCCGTAAGATTCTCTCATGGTGAGAACGGACGCTGGAGGGCCGTTCTGTTCTGGGATGTGTGTGCCTCACTTCATCTCTCCTCCTGCCGTGAAGATGCAGGGCCCCAGCTGGCTGGCAGAGGACGGGCTCAGAGCCCCAGACAGGGGAACGGCTGCAGCCCACGAAGGCTGGCAGGAGTGCGCCGAGCACGGCAGGCCTGCCCGCGGCTTCTGCAACTCCAGCCACTTCCTTCCAGCAGTTCTCGGGCGGCCCACGCTGAGTTCAAAGTCAACCTTCCCTCAGTTGTGACATGCCCGTCTGATGCCTGCCAAATGCCCACTCTGCTCTGCAAGGCGCCGTTTCGTGCGGCATGACACACACGCTGCACACACGTGCACACACACACACACACCATGAGTGTCTGCCTGCTTTAAGACAGCTTGGGTTTGAAGTCACCATTGCACCTGCCGGTCCCTGTCACACTGTGGGTCTGTTTGGCCTCCCACCCACCCAGGGAGTCCTAGGTGAGTCCCCTTCAGGGACCATGGCTCAGTCCCAAGGGACCAGGGCTTGGTCAGGCTGCCCCCTCCACAGAAGCAAACACACCCAAGTGTCCAGCAAAGACAGGGCCTGGGTCTGGGCTGCTCAACACCCCCAAAGGCTGTGCAGGGAGCCAGGTGTTGGGCACCAGAAAAAAAGTTGGCAGCCCTAGCTTCTCAGTCAGACACTGTCCGCCCGTCTGCTCCTTTTCCGAGTCACCACCTCCGTACCCACCGTCCCCGTGGGCCTGCCCATTGGCCCCTTTTCCGTGTCACCACCTACACGCCCACTGTCCCCATGGACCCGCCCGTCAGCTCCTTTTCCGAGTCACCACCTGCACACCCACCGTCCCCATGGGAGCCTTAGTGCAGCTCGTTGCTCCCACCCCTAACCTGCCAGCCCAGTGCAGCCTCCCGGCCTTTGCTCCTGCTGTTCCCTCTTTCCAAAATGCCCTTCCTGTGCCCCAGACTCCCTTACACAAGGGCTCTCCCAACTCCTATCCTACACCCCCAGCCCCAGCTCAGACATCGCCTCCCTGACCTCTGTCTATGGCCGCTTCTTGCTCTCCCCTGGGGCAATGCAGGGTCTGGATTGGCCACAGTGTCCCCCACCCCGTGCCCCTCTGGTCTGACTCAGGCGACTCCCCTGCCCTTCACGCTCCCAGATCCCCATCTTCAGTGTGGCTGTCCCCATCTCAACGCTGCCCAGTGAGGGCGGGACCATGGCCAATCCACATTGGGCGGAGAAGGAAAGCACACCCCCCTGTCCCAGACACCCTCTGCAGGCAGGAGCAGCATCCCACGGAGGTCAATGTCAACACCATCCCACCTTACAGGCAAGGCAAGTGAGCGGCTGAGACATCAAGGGATGTAACAGCCATTGAGAGGCACAGCTGGGATGGGAACCCCAGACTGCTGACTCCGAGAGACAGCAGAGGGAAGGAAGAGCGGCCAGTGAACTCTGCCTGGGCAGGCCTGGGCCCTGCTCTAGATATCTGGTGCTGTGCCCACTACAGAGAAGGAATCCGGTACGCAGTTGGGGTTAGATGGGCTGGGGGCAGGGTGCGGGATGGACAGTGAGCTCTCAGAGGGCACAGCTCTCATGTTGACCATGTCGGGAAACTGAGGCTCGGAGAGGGTCAGGGACTTGCCCAGGTCCTCTGCCCTCTGGCCAGGAGGGCGTCCACCCACCCTGTGCCCCCAAAACAGGCTCAGGAGTTGGAAGGAGAAACTAACAGCAGCCACAGGGCCAGGGTCCCATCTGCCCTGGTCCACCCTGGTGCCTCCCAGCATGGCTCAATCCTCTGGCTGCCACCCCACGTGGAGGGGCCAAGGCCAGGTTGGATGAGCTGAGCAGTGGCGAGTGCTTGGGGACATGTGCAGAGCCAGGGTGACCCCAGAGTGGGGCTGTTTGCCCGAGAAGTGAGGGGCCCTCCCACCTGGAAAAGCAGCCCCAGCGCCAGTAGATGGGGCTCACCTCAAACTTGAGCTGCTTCTTGGAGCCCGGACAAGACTCGCCAGCCTTCTCCATCCTCTTCTCATCTCCACTGCCAGGCGCCTCTGTCTTCTCCGGGGGCAAGGCCACTGCGGGGAGCGAGGGAGGAAAGCGGGAGGCAGGGGCTCCCATCGGAGGCTGTCAGGGCCCCGGGCCTGCCGTGGCTTTGTCCCTGGGACCTGGCATGCAGGGCACCTCTGCCCCCGCCCTGCCTGTTGGCTGGGGTCTGCATCACTCTGCTCTCTGCTGCCTGGGAGTGCCTGGGGCAGCTGCAGGGGGCTCCCCAAGCAGGGCGCATCCTCACCAGCCACGCCGGGCACCCACCCGGCCTCTCAGGTGTCCACCCTCTGCCCATCCTCACGACCTGCAGCCTGCGTGTTCAAGTCCTGCACAGGAACGTGCCCCCCACTCCCACCCCCCAGGGCAGTGTCCGGCCTAGGGGCAGGAAGATGAGGGCACGGGGAGCTTCAGGAGCTAGGGGACCAGGGACGTTTCCTACAGTCTCACAGCTGACACCTGGGCCTCCTCAAAGATGCTCCTGTCCGGGCCCAAGCAGGGGAGCACACTGCCCGGGGTGGGGTGGGGGGATCAGGAGAAGGGAGAGGAACAGTCCAACCCAGGTGGTGAAAGGCACGCAGGCACCCACATGCACATACGTCGCAGCTTCGGGGAGGAAGCTCCCCCGGAATCTCCCCCTCCTCAAAGGTCACATGCCTCTGCGTGTCCTGGCAGGTGCAGTGGGAAACATGAAATCCCGTGACCCAATGACACCATTCTGCTGAACACCTCCAAGAGGTGCCGGGAGTGCAGTTCAGGGTCACATGCGAGGACCTTGACCTTAGCCCCAGAAGACAAGGCTCCATCCAACCTGGCAGGTGCCCCACCCGACCCCTTTGGTCCCTTCTCCCCATTTGGTCTCTGCTTAGGTGACAGGGCTCAGGTTTGCCCAGGGACACACTTTTCTAGAATGTGTTCACAGCTCCTCTCTCATTAGACTCCCTTTATCGCACTGGGGGAGTGACTCTGTTGTTCTACTTTACAGAACAAATTGAGTCTGGCTCCCACTAGAGGGACCCTCCTGGGTCCCCCTGCATGAGGGATGGCCAGGCTACCGAGGGAGCCTCACGGGGAGCTGCGATGCCCAGCGAGAGAAAAAGGCTGGGCTTGCTCAGGAAGTCAGGAGCCTGGAGCAATGAGGCCCAGGCCAGGAAAGCAGGTGGAAGCCCCCACATCCCCAGCCCCACTACACTCACCCGGCCTGGCAGGTGTCCCTGCCAGGGACTGGTTCTCAGCCCGGCAGCTTGGCACCTGCCCCCAGGTCAGAGCTCTCAGCCCAGTGGTCACCCAAGTCCCACCCACTGTAACCCTCGCACTGTGTGTCTCTCGTTCCTTGGCGCCACTGTGCATAAAGATGAGACAGCGAGCCCACACTGCACCAGACCCCACCCACACTGCACCAGACCCCACCCACACTGCTCACCAGCAACCCCTGGTGGCAGCTACTATCAGTAGCTCTATTTCCCAGATGGGATAACCGAGGTACAAACAGCTCAGGGCTCTGCTGGCAGTGACTGAGCTGGGATTTGAACCCAAGCAGCCGCATCAAGTTCACAAGCACTCTGTTAGACTGCAGTTTCTCCCGCTGTGAAACAAGGACGTCAATGGTCACGCACCCAGGATATTCAACGAGCTATGAACACAAAGGGCTCTGAGGCAGCCCAGCACTCAGCTCCCGGCCAGGAGCGGTGGGTTCAGGGGAATGAGGACCCCACCTCGCTGACCCTGGGCAATCAGGGCAGCCGGAAGCTGAGTTTTCTCCAAGTGGAGGCTTTTGGAACGTGAATGGATACACAATCGCTACGTCACTGGATTCATGATCACTACATCAACACAGCCCAGAAGTCAGTGGGACAGGGAGAGGGAGGAGCTAGCGGGTCACCCAGTTCCTGGCGCAGACATGGCAGGCACAGAAGGCCAGGGCCAGCACCTCCATCCCCAGCTCCCCTGCCCACTGGGCCTGGGGATCTTTCCCTCTCTTTCCTCTGAGCCTATTGGAAGCCGCTAGCCACAGCATTCCGCCTGTGCCACCCAGACTCCGCCATCCACACCAGCTGGTGCCCTGTGGTGCCAGAGCTGCCACCACCACGGGGGCAGAGGACACACAGCACAGCCACTACCACCCGGCCACCAGGGGGCAGGCGCTGCTGTCATCCTGGCTCAGCCAGGGCGGGCGCCTTCCCAGCACTGAGGACTCGCGCCAGCAGCCCGGGCAGGTGCAGCAGAGCTGGCCGAGAGCGCAGCAGTGAGAGGCCAGGCTCAGTCACATCCGGGCTCAGATTCGCACTCTGCCACTGACTCCTCTCTGGGGCTTGATCTCCTGGTCTGCAGAATGGAGAAACAGGAAGAGCTTACTTAGCACACAGTCAGTGCTCAATCAATGCTGGCTTTGCCAAGGATGTCAGTGAGTCATGGTCCTCACGGGCATCCCAGATCCAGATGATCCCCCTTGCCCTAAAATCGCCGCCCTGGAGAAACCAGAGACTTCACGGCTGGCAGCACCCTCCCTTCACCGCCCCCGGGGTGGACAAAACAAAACAAGGCCTCAGCTCCATCTTCAAAGCTGCTACCTCCCCCTGCAGAGGTCCTGGCTGCAGATGCCAGCTGCAAGCCGGCCAGGCTTATCGAAACCAAACTTCAAGTTCAAAGGGAAGTTATCAGAAAAGCACCTTCGGGTTCAGTGTTGCCTTTCATGTTCCACTTGATAAAACCCAAAGAACAGAACCTCTGTCTCTGCTCTCTCCTTCTCACTGTCCCAGCCTACGCACTGGAGAGCCTGTCTTCCCTCTGGTCCTCCCTCCCTGCCTCCGTCCTTTCTCCTTGCCTGGGAGAAGGGATGGAAAACTTCCCCCTCCTCCAAGGACCAGCAGGGCCTGGACTGTCCTTTATCCACAGGTCTCTGCTCCATCCCTGCTCAGTAAACCACCCAGTCCCCACCCCCCCACCCCACCAGGGCAGCCATGGTCAGAGGACAAGCCAGGGTCCTCCGGCAGCACCAGCTGGGCACACTTGGGCAGCAGAACTGCAACCCATCTTGCCCTGAGGCCTTAAGGGGTGGGACAGGGACTGCCGGCACCCAGAGCCCCCATGCCCAGGGCCAGAGGAAGTGGCAGAGAAGTGGTCAGAGGTTGGGGCCGGGACTCAGGGGCCCTGTGCCTATGTTCACATACGAAGCCTCTGGAAGCAAAGCCAGGCAACCACCACAGCCTCGGGCCATCCCTGTGCAGCCCAAACCACCCCCCCCACACACACACAGGCAGCAGGTGCAGGGTGAATGGCACTCCTTGGGGGGGGGGGGCTCCCAGGCACAGCAACCAGGAACAAGATAATGACGCTTGGCAGAGGTGGACTGGGGCACCTGAGCCTGACTTCACCCTCTGTCTCTAATTCCTGCTGAGCTCAGAGAGTTCCTCTCTGGAGATTATCTTCCAAAAGAGGCATAATTTCAGGGAGAATCTGATTACTCTTCAATGCAAGTTCCTAATTTAAAGCAAGCCAGGAAAGCAGAGGAAAAGGTAGAACAAGAGAGGAAGGAGGCAGAGGAGGGAAGAAAGCAAACCTTTCACCTCCCAGGGAAGCACCGCTGGGCGACTCACGGCTAGAGGTGGCAAACTTACCCTGTGAGCCAAGGCCCGCCCACTGTTGTTCTAAATAAAGTTTTATTGGGACACAGCCACGCTCACACACACGCTATGTGGCTGCTTTCATTCCACAACAGCAGAGTGGAACAGTTGCAACAGAGACCGCACAGCCCTCAGAATCTAAAATATGCACCATGTGGCCTTTTACAGAAAAGTTCGGGGATCACTGCTTTGGGTGAACGCAATCCTCTACTCCCTACTGACTACACTAGCCTGCAAACTCTTGCGTAGTACACAACCTGCCCAACCATACACTGTGGCCACAGAAGGAAAAAAAAAAGTCATCTCTACTTTCACAAAACCAATTCTCAGTCCAAAACAGCACAGGGTGGGGGGCGGGTAACTAGTGACGGGTCTCGTCTTTGGAAGCAGCTCCCTGTCCCGCTCACGCCGCAGCCACGAGCAGTCAGCTCGCTGTGTTTACCCAGTGACGGTTCTCTCCCACATTAGCTCCCAACCTGGCAGAACTCCACCCCCAGCAACTGCCAGATTAAATGCATTACTTGACCATCTTCACCCGGCTCCCTTTGATGTTCTCTTCTCAAGCTTCAAAATACCTTTTGGAGGGAGATCAGACAGCATTAAACAGAATTACTAATTAATTAAGCAAAGTTAAATTTTAAACACTGTTTGTTGTGTTAGCCAAAAGCCTGAACAGAACAGACTTTTTTCCTCTGCTGAGATCAAAGACGGTCTCTTCCCTTTCCCCTCCCCCAGTTTAAAGTGGGGGGGGTGGGCAGCAGGAAGAGGGAGAGAAAGAAGGGAGTGAGGAAATACCTGAAGGGTGGCAACTTTGATCCGGGGTCTGGACTCCCATCTCCCACCCCCACCCCACCCCTGGCCACGCCCCCAGGGGCCCAGAGGGAGGCCTCCAGGCTGCTTTGGGACTGCAGGCTGGGGACAGCCACAGTCACTTTCTCAGGACTGTTTATCCTGGCAAATAGCAGGGGTGCAGGGGGAGGGCAGCAGAGCCCAGCGGGCAGGGGTGCTGACAGCTGGTGCCACCCAAAGAGCAGCAGCAGAAGGGCTGGGAGACGCACCAGGCCCATCCTCTTGCAGCCCCACCCTACCAGGCAGTGTGGGCGGGGCACGCACGTCCGGGCTCCTGCCCCTCGGTGTGGGATCACTTGGGGTCACACGAGACCAGTCCTGGGAAGCACCTTGTGCACAGTCCAACCCCAGGAGGCGCCACCACGAGGCAGGCATCTCAAATACGGGTATTGCACACGACGCTCCAGCACAGAAGGCAGAACGGTGTCTTTTTCTAACTTGCACATGCGGCATGGGCAGGGTCCTGGCTGGGAACCCCTGATTACTGCAAAGGAGCCTCCACACCAGCACGGCCTGGTTCTCACGGGGCCCTGCCGGCTCAATGCTCCGGGCTGGCATGT